TGAACTGTTTAAATCCAGTTTGTTACATAACCGAGATATGTTTACCTGTGACAATGAACTGTTTAAATCCAGTTTGTTACATAACTGAGATATGTTTACCTGTGACAATGAACTGTTTAAATCCAGTTTGTTACATAACCGAGATATGTTTACCTGTGATAATTTGTTTAGTTCTGTAAATAATTGAGACATGTTTCCCTGTGATAATTAACTATATAAGCCCACTTTGTTATACATTTGTTTAGTTCTGTACATAACTGAAACTGGACTCGCTGGACTTCTTTATCTATCACAAACGTTTATAAAGATATGAACCCAGCCATAGGATCCTCACTTTGAAACGTACTAGTGTTTGGTGTTTCTTGAACTATGCATATAAAAGATCATAATCCATGTTTACATTAGCCATACAAACAGCTTTTATATCCAAGCTTTTTTTCCATCAACAGAGAAGCAGGAAGTTTAATAACAATATCGCTTTATTTCTTCATACTGCTGTACAAATTACTTCAAGCAGCTATGTACATTATCCTTCTGTGACATTTCTTATAGTTTCAAGAGTAAAAGTGGCTAATTAAAAGCTTTCCTAACAGACTCTAAAATTCTTCTATAGTAAAAAATTTCGGCACATAAAAATAATTCCTTTTCTTTTCAAACCATGAGGTAAGGCAAAAAATTTTTCTCTTTTTACTTTACTTTTTGAATTATTTTAGCTAAAATTGAAATAGCTAAAACAAAGTTATTAAACAAAATTACACCAGTAATGAATTCATTTACATTTTTTAACTCTTCCAGTTTTAGTCAAATAAATGTTTCTATTTTTAAAAACTGGAACCTTTCTCTGACTTACTTTCCATTAATTACAATAGTTTAAAATAAACAAGAGCTCTTGATGAAACATTGCAATAATTTATCTGCTATACATGACAAACAAAAACCACCTCCTTCAATGTGACTACATGTGTTGAGAACACTGACCATTTCTTTAAAACATGATAGGCTTCGTCTCTGTCATATCTTTAACATACTGAGTAAATCTTTTCAGGAATTTTGGGTATTCTCGCTTATACACGGCACGGAGGACCGAGGCTGGAGTCCAACCACCTGGGTTTACTGTAAAAACAAATAATTCAGACGTGAGAAATAGTGGTGGGGAAAAAGTTTGTAAATGGTATGCTTCGTATTACTACTAGCTAGCTCTTTAGCAATCACTGCACCGAACAGGGAGAATAAATTAAGTAAATAATACCTATATATTAATAACCATTAACTGAGAGAAAGATAAATATCACAACCAATCAATGTGTAAAAAAACAAATGTGCCTATATAGTCACAACATGAAAGAGTCAAGATGACGAGGAAAGATCAGAAATTAACAACATCATTAATGTTGTTTGTATAAAGCAGTTACTTCCTCATCAGCTACTTTTGCTCGTGAAAGTTGGATGTTGAAGAAGAGTGATTAAAAGAAGATGAAAAATTTTGAATTGTGTTGCTATAAGAGAGACCTGAGAATATAGTGGATTGAAAGAAAATTTAATAAGAGAAGGCTGAGAAACAACAACACGAAAGAAGACTGTTGGAAGGTTTCCTTAAAAGGAAGGTGTCATATTTTGGGCACATAATGAGAAGAGATGGGACCTGCCTGGAGAAAATCATCATGATGGATGAGTTGAGAGAACCAGATAGAGAAAAACCAGCGACAAAGTGGAGTGTTGGGATAAGAAGACAACTGGAAGATCACAGCAGTAGCCACTACATTAACATCGGGGACTATGTGATAAATATATATAATCAAACATTTTTCAGCCTTTTTCCTTCTTTAAAAGAAAAGATATAAAAATAGTGCCCGATAAAAATTATTTCTGACAGCTATTCATAGTTTACTTCCAATTTCAGACACAGAGTAACTTTTACACAACACATATAGACTCTGATGCAACAACTTACTGGTTGAACAGTAGATAATTTTGCACATCAAATTTTCCCGATTTATCTCTTCATTTTCAGCCGGTGGATCAACGAACGTCTGGCAGACTAAGCTAATGGTCAGGAATACTCGTACACATTTTCCAACCTACCAAAGAAAACTTTATTCTACACAAAAATTTGTTGCAATTTTTCTTTCATTACTCCTAAATTATTCGACAAATACTATAAAGTCGAGTCGATAATAAAATGGGCAGTTTCTACAAACGTATTATTTTAATCACACACAATAATTATAGCTGTTTCTAAAATTCTAGTTACAATATAATTTAGAAAACTAACAATGAATCAAAGTTAGTAATAACAGTTACTTAATCTATATACTGTATGCAACAACATGTGATAGAAACAATGAATCAAAGTTAATAACAACGGTTACTCAATATATATACTGTACGCAACAACATGTGATAGAAACAATGAATCAAAGTTAGTAACAACGGTTACTCAATATATATACTGTACGCAACAACATGTGATAGAAACAATGAATCAAAGTTAATAACAACGGTTACTCAATATATATACTGTACGCAACAACATGTGATAGAAACAATGAATCAAAGTTAATAACAACAGATTGAGTACCTATTGTTTATTAACTTTGATTCATTGTTTCTATCACGTATTGTTAGTACAGTATAAATGTGTGATAGAAACAATGAATCAAAGTTAATAAACAATAGGTACTCAATCTGTATACTGTACTCAACAATATGTGATAGAAACAATGAATCAAAGTTAATAAACAATAGCTACACGAGGGCTATCTGTGCTAACCGTCCCTAATTTAGCAGTGTAAGACTAGAGGGAAGGCAGCTAGTCATCACCACCCATCGCCAAATCTTTTACCAATGAATAGTGGGCTTGACCATCATGTTATAATGCCCCCATGGCTGAAAAGGTGAGCATATTTGGTCTGACGGGGGTTTGGAACCTGCGACCCGCAGATTGCGAGTCGAGCACCCTAACCACCTGGCTGCATGAGATAATCCTTCAAAAATTTAAACTTGATTTTTAAACTCAGTTCTAAGCATTACTGACTCTAGAAGTAGACAAAAACAACATAAGATTTTCCATATCTTAATAATAAACGATTTTTGATAATGAACAGCATTTCAGACACAAGTTTAATGTTCTACGTGAGGTCCCATGAAAGCCAATAGAACGACACTCACAGTAATGTTCATAATTTATAAAGAAAACGTTTTCCAGGTATGTTTAATTACACTGATAAAGAGATCATGTTTATTTTAAGAACTACAACAAATTAGAAGGTAAAAATTAAATCATACTGGGACGTCTTCATGATCTGTGGAATGATTACAAACAAGCCAGATAGTTTGTGCATCCGAATCATCATTGTTAGGAACTTGTCGCATGTGAGACCAGAATAAGGCATCACGTTGGGTGGCAGGCCACACTCTCTTATGAACTTGATGAAAAATCAGAGTTTTCGAATCAATCTCTTCAATTATTTTCATTGACTCCAGAGTTGCTGAAGTAAAACAAGGTCCCCAATAAATTTCAAACAGCTTGAAACAAATACTACAGGAATCATCCAAGTAATAATCTGTTTTAAAAACTTCCTGGATTTATTTCACAATTTTTTATTTCCGGATATTGAATATATATTTTGTCTGAAAGTATGGAATGGTGTATTATTATTAACTCTTTTCATGACAGGTGGGTCTAACTATGCACATGAAGGTCTTTTAGCAGAGTTATTTTCACAATGTAATTAAATTACTTTTCGTTTATGTTATACCAATTAATATAGAATAAAATTGTAGCTAATAATCCATATTTTAATAGTATACAAGTTTTAGTTCTTAATTTTATAAGGCAATATTTAGAAAAATCCTGAGTTACACCTAGTGTGAGAAATGTGAAATATTTTCTTTATTTATTCACCACCCTTCAATAAGTATGAAATTGAACATAAATTACTCACTATAAAATCATCATTGCTCTGACAAACCATAATACTTATAGTCTTTAATTCGATTTAGTTACAGAGCCATGAAATAGAAAATTATACCCCTCTTACCACACCCATTTGTCACATCCTCTCTTTCAGGATTTAATAGTTCTCTCTCTTACATTTAATTCTACATTATGTATAATCAATAGAAATCCAAGGTTTACATCTATCAAATGATGATTTATATTACATTGTTTTCTATAGAGAGAATTGTCAACTTCTCTTTCAGTATAAGCTTTGTTCCTACACGGGAAACTTATCGACTAGCTTGGATGAATGTGTAACGCTGCTCTTGTTGCACAGTTAGAAAGCCAGAAAAATTGCGATAGTTAGGGGAAATTTTCTGCTTTTTGCATATTATTATTCTATGTTCTTTGGTGCAATATTTAATTAAATAAAAAAATTTAGTGCATTACTACCATTAGTATAAAAAAGGAGAGTTAAGTGTCATCAACAGCTGACAGCAAGAAGACTCGGATAAGTAATTTTTCTTGTTTTTCATGTTTATTCTTTATTTTTCATTATAAAAATGTAAAATTAAGGGTCTCTTTTTGTTATTTAAAGTTATGTTAAGTAAAATAAATAATAATATAATAAAAATGTTTCACGAGTAGCTTGAACTTGGAGTAGCTCATAAGTAATGTAATTCGATACCATAACATCAGCTCCATATTCCCCAAGTGATTTACAACTTATAATGGCATGAATAGTCATAGTTAGTTGTTCAAAGAGCAATCACAGAACAATAAAACAATAAAATTTAATTATAAATAGATTTATACTGTTATGAGTTTAAAGCTACTTAGGATAAATGAATGTAGTTTCATGTTACAATTTGAAGTTATTCTAGAAAGAAAAAAAAGAAAAAAGATTTAATTCAATTTTTTCTGGTGGTTACAAGGTTCCTCAAATTGACCGACCACCTTATCGAGTTATGCTAGAGAAAATAACAGATAAAATATAAAGTTTTACTGTAAACAAATGTTTGAATGTATTTAGGAGGTTTTAGAGATTACACAAATAATATTTGATCTTTTTGGGATGAAGAACAGTTTTTTAAATCATAACATGAAAATCTTTGACAGGTTGTTTAGACAGAGTTATCATAATGAAGACGAAAGGCAGAAGACTTTCGAAACATCGTCCTCTACATTTGTA